CTACTGTGGTCAGGCGTCAGACCTACTGTGGTCAGGCGTCAGACCTAACTAAACACTTCTACTGTATTTATTGTACTGTGAGTATGACTAATTAGCGATTTGGTTGGTCTTTAAAGTAGCAAGAACCGGTCGTTGAGGACTTCCCTTGGCCGACGGTCCTACGATGGAGGTTCTCCCTGAGGGGGATGTAGTTAGAAGCAGCTACCAAGAGGGGTATGTGGTGATGGGGTGCTCCCCACGACTTAAAAGCATACTTCGACTCTGCTGAGTCGAAGTATGCTTTCGATGCCTGTTTCATAAATTGGGGTATTGTGGGGAGCGGTAAATCAATATGGAATGCGATGTCGCAACGAAACGCCGTTTTCTTACGCACCGCAGTACCCCTTCCTGCTTCGTCTCCTATCCTCTTGTCCGTAGCGCACGCGTGCTGTCGCCGCAGTTTCAATACATTATGTGTCATGTAGTTCTAATTTCTCACAACGCATCGTATGGCATCGTTCAAACTCTGCTTTAGGTTTCTTTTATTTTTTATTATAGACCGCTACGGGACCGGGCAAATAAAAAATACTTTTCTACATTTTCTAATGCTTCATGTCAATGTGTTTTTGTCTTTAATTTGCTTCTTTGTTCTGTTTCTTGGTTCTGTTTTTCTAAGTAGTTAGTTTTTCTTAAATACAATCTTAATTTACTTGGAGCTTGATTTCCCTCAAACAATTTTACTCAATAGCCTCTGTGTCGTGTTGTTTTTATTACTAGTTAAGTAATAAGAGTTAGTGCAGGGAAGTACTGCCACCTTACCTATTTCTGCCAAGCAGTAATGTAAACATTATTGCGTTCCGATTTCGAAGGGTAAGGGTGCTGGTGAAATTACAGGCACATAGTATTTGTCTACTTATGCCTCCGGGTGACGGGCGCAGTGACACGCCCCTTAGATCTTTGCGATATAAAGCTCTGAGTGATACTACAACTGTGATGGAACGGCGTGTAGCTTACCACCTGGCGCATGACTTTTTTGTCCCGTCACTTGATATATTAAAAAAAAATGGTCGCAAAAAGGGCCTTCATAGGCAAGACCTGAATGGAGCCACCTTAACAATAATAATGGTATTATTTTTATAACTATCGCGTGATAAAAGCACTTCTGAATTATGCTCCCAATCACTTTATTCTAACTTCTATCAAATTTACGAATTCTCCGTAGCTGAGCCATGGTCCAATTTGACATGCTTGTTTTGTTATTAAAATTAATAATAATAATGTTTTTTAATTGTATGGCTCGACAAATAAAATATTTTTTATTTTTATTTTAGTATAGACTGCTTATCAGTGGCAACTCGTAAATGTTATCGGCAGTAAAGCAGAAGGAAAAAGAACACCCACTTAAACTTAAACAAAACAAATTTTTCCTTTCGTATTACCTATGTATATGGGTCATGTCGCCTGAACTAAAAAAAATAAATAATAAAATAAATAAAATAAATTAAAAAAGATATCGATGTTGACGACAAACACAACACTTAATCGCACTCAAGATACCAATACACTTCATTTCACTGGTTAAGTTGTTCTACGCATAAGACTAAACTAGTATATTAGTTTAAAAACTATAATAATTTGTTTATTACAGTTTTTATATTAACTAGTTTTATTTTATTATCAAGGACAGGTTACGCGTTAATTCTAGAACATTATAAAATTTTGAATTATAAATTGTATAAGTTGATTAAGTGGTTAGGTATGTGCGCTCTCTACTCTAGACTGCACAGTCTTAATAAAAGTGTAAATAATTTTTGGCAAATTTTAGTCAAGCCGGTGGCAATCGAGTTATAATTATGAACGGTTCAACACTGGGGAATATATTTGACGTAATTTAAGTGCTCGTTGCATCGATAACACCAGTTGTTCAAAACGAATAAATGCACGCTTGGTTAAAGTGTAATTTCTTTTTATCATACCAAGTGACGGGACGAACAAGTCGTGTGCCTGTTGCTAAGCGACTCGCCTGTCCATAACAGTTACAGTGCCACGCAGATCTTTAAAACGCAAAGACCGGAGTGGCACTGTCACTGCACCCGTCACCCTGAGACATAAGTCGACAAATCCCATTGTAATTTCACCACTATCTACTAACAAACTGCGTTTTTTTATAATAGCAAGCGACATAACGAACAAGTCGTGTGACTGTGGATGTAGATTGAGACTCCAATATGAAATCGCGGACTAATTGCTTGAAAGCTAGTTTATTCGGCGCTTTTTGAATATGGGACGGCAGAACGTTTCAGAGTCGTATTGCCTGAAGAGTAAATGAGTTAGAAAGAAAACCAGTACGGTGAAAAGGAATTAAAAGAGCCAATTTGCTGTCTGAGCGAAGATTGCGGTTATGCGATACACCCAAATATTGAAGTTAAATTTCAAACATCCAGGTGCAAATTTATCATTAATAATAGAGTAAAGAGTGGAAAGTATTCTCAAATCACGACGCTGGCAAATCGTAAGCCACTTCAGCTTTGAAATAGATAAAAGCTCTACTACTATAAAATTTATTTGTATGTAGTTGTAACTTTATGTCATACCTCTAGCATACATGCTGACGTCTTGAAGCAAGGCCTCGCAGGATTCTCTCTCGTTGCCGTCGAGCTCCCTTACTGCCTTTAGAAAACCTTTCTTTCGCAGGCCCCATTCTAGACTTTTACCTGTGGACAAGGTTGAATATGTGTGATTAAAAATCGTACTCTTACATAGCAGAACCACATGTGATCATACGTCAAAAGTGCTTTTAACACACGAAAGTCAAGCTTTTTTTAAATGAAGTGACGGAACGAGCATGTCGTGCGCCTGATGGTAAGCTACGCGCCTGTCCATAACAACTGCAATATCACTCAGAGCTTTAAATTGCAAAGATCTGAGGGGCACTGCCACTGCGCTTGTCACCCTGAGACATAAGTTAACAAGTCCCATGTGCCTGTAATTTCACCAGTACCCTAACACTTCAAAACCGGAACACAGTAATGCTGATATTACTGCTTGGCGGCAGAAATAGGTAAGGTGGCAGTACTTCCCTGGATGAACTCTTTCACAACGAGCTCCACTGCTACTATTTATTAATTTATAAAGGTATACCAACAGCATAAATATAGTTTTATACAAAAAAGTTATGGTAAGATGAATAATGTTACTTATACATAATGCCTAGTTCCTGGAACGTGGGGCGCACTATAAGTTTCCGGAATTAATAAGAAAAAAATGCTATAAATGGTCAGAAACGAATTTATTCTTTCTCAAAATATTCTCCGTTAGCGTTAGTGTACTTTTTCATACGAATGAACCAATTTTGAAAACATTTATGCCACTCCTCCGTGACAATCTCTGAAACATATTTTTCATACTCTTCGACAGACTCTTCAGGTGATGAAAACCGTTGACCGTGTAACTGGTTCTTAATTTTTGGAAATAAATAAAAGTCACACGTGTCAGGTCGGGGCTGTACGCGGGATGGTTCATAAGGTCAACGTTGTTCACATTCAAAAGTTCATGTGTCTGCTCATCTGTCTGGTTGTGTGAGGACTGGCATTATCGTGGTGCAAGATGATGACGGGTTTACGGTTATTTTTACGGTCTTTGTCAATAATTTCCGACAAACAAATGGTCGTGTACCAATCACTATTCACGGTATAACGATTCTCCAAAGCAACAGTAGCCACGTGTCCAGTTTTGTTAAAAAAAGAACCAATCATCCGCTTAGAGGCACTTTGCACGCGCGCCACTTTGGTTGGTTTCGGCTCATCTCGAAAGACCCATACGCTCGATTGCTGCTTTGTTTTGGGATCGTAACTATAAATCCATGTTTCGTCACCTGTTACTATGTTCCACACCAAATTTGACTTCGCTGAATCTGGTAAGCATGGCATTGCACCAAGTGACGCGAGCCGTTTTTTGAGCCTCAGTCAAATTGTGTGGGATCCACCGAGAGCACAGCTTTTTCACACCCAAATGTTTGTGTAGTATTGATTGTATTTGAATCTTGCCTATGCCTAAAGATGCCCGAATCTCATGAATGGTATGTCACATGCCTGTCTGTTTTGATCACACGGCGCGCAGCATTGATGTTTTTATTGTTTACAGCAGTGGACGGGCGACCATCACGAAATTCGTCACTGAGATTCACACGATCGCGTTTGAATTCTGCAACCCAGCTATAAATAGTCGTCTTGTATGGTGCTTCATCGCCAAATGCAGTTTGAAGCCGAGCGAAGCTCCGCTGAACTGTTACATTACACTTAAAGTCGTAAAAAATCACACTACGAAAATTTCCACGAGTTAAATCCACGGTGATGTAGACAACCAATTTCTAAAATGATGCCACATTGTAAAAACCAGTGACAGTCAGTTGAAACAAACTGCATTCTACAGCCAAAGAGTTCCATTTTCAAATGTTGCAATTACTTTTTAAATATTGTTTATGTAAGTGGCCAGTTCCGGAAACTTATAGTGCGCCCTATGTATACACAACTTTGTAGTATTTAATTAATACAGAATTAATTGAAGAAGAAAAATATTATAAAATATACAAAAATAAAACAAAAGATCGTAAAAATAACACGAACAATATGAAACAAATTAAGTATATCTGAAATTTTGACGACCTCGGTGGTTGAGTGGCTTAGGCAACAGTTTTCATGGTGTCGCCATCTCTGAGGTCCCGGCTTCGATCCCCGGCCAGGTCAATGAAGAAAACTTTTCAAACTTTTCTATATCGTCTCGGGTCTGGGTGTTTGTGGTATCGTCATTGTTTCCGATTTTCATAACACAAATGCTATAGCTACTTACTTAGGAATCAGAGCAACATATGTTATGTTGTCGAATATTTATATTTATAACTCCCCTACAATAAATATATACCCTACAATAATAAAGGCCCATTTAGATGGAGAGAGTTTCTCGCACGCTTCGTGACGAAAACTCGTACGCTATTATCGTAAAGGCCCATTTAGATGGAGAGAGTTTCTCGTCTCGAAGATGCGATTATCGAAAGAATATAAAAAAACTTTCCTCGTCTAAACATTCGCGATTATCGACCGTCCACGTGTGCGATAATCTCCTCGCCTTTCAATATTGAACGTCTCCGTGTAAACAGAACTCGAAAGCAAAAATCGTATTTCGAGTTTCTGTGCCAGCCGTTTCTACCACGAGTGCGGTGCGCGAGGGTGTTTTGATTATCACTGCTTTTCTAAGACAAGAATTAATGGAAGGAGAGCGAAAAAAGAATTTCAAATAACGGTGAGTGAGTGAGTGCCTCTGTGGTCGAATATAGCGTGATAATCTTATGGCGATTATTGCTTACGATAATCGCCTACGAGTTTTCGTCTCGAAGCGTGCGAGAAACTCTCCCCATCTAAATGGGCCTTAAGCAATAATCGCCATAAGATTATCGTATCATAATGTTTACATTCAGGCAAGAACTAAAATCTCGCCTACGATTATGTCATACGAGATTCGCAAGCAACTTAATCGCCTCCTCGACTGTTTACACAGAGAAATATGTAGTAAGGAGATTCTTGCTTACGAGTTTTCGACATGTCTAAACAAGATCTCGTATGACATTTTTTCAAGTTCATACGATTATCGTACAAATCGGTTCGAACCGTTTTGAGTGCGAAAATCGCCATTTGAGTTCAGTGATTACTGCGGTATTGACTATGGATATATCGAAATGACGCAAAAATCATTCAAATTTGGAACTGCTGATAATATTAAGTTAATAAATGAATAATCAAAACACCCTCGCGCATTGCACTCGTGGTAGAAACGGCTTGCACAGAAACTCGAAATACGATTTTTGCTTTCGAGTTCTGTTTACACAGAGACGTTCAATATCTTATATATACATACCTACCTTATATATACCTTTCAGGCGAGGCGATTATCGCTCACGTGGACGGTCGATAATCGCGAATGTTTAGACGAGGAAAGTTTTTTATATTCTTTCGATAATCGTATCTTCGAGACGATAAACTCTCTCCATCTAAATGGGCCTTAAGTATAAAAAGTTATCGACTAATTTTGTTCGTAGAATACTTTAAACCTCTCTCCTGAAAAGTTGTTTATTTTTGCAGATGTGGCCTTATTACAACAAGGGTGCGAGATATTGGACGTTAAATTTTTTATTTTTCAGTAGCGGCGAGTGTGTCCCCCAGATTAAATCGGAAAACGGATCAGTGAAAAGTTAAGGATTGCCTTTAACATATTTTGTTTCAGTTTTCGTTTGATGAGGGTCTCCATTAGAGATGACACGCACGCTTCAAACCTGTCCTTAACTTTTAACTGTTTAAACTTTAAAATAAACATATGTGAGGTCCGAGAACTCCTTGTGAAAGAGTGATTACAGGACAAATACAGACTTATGTCTCAGGGTGACGGGCACAGTGGCAGTACACCTAAGATCTTTGCGATTAAAAGCTCTAAGCGGCACTGCAACTGTTATGGATAGGTGTGTCGCTTACCACCAGACGCACGACTTGTTCGTCCGGTCACTTGGTATTATAAAAAAAATATAACAGTATAAGTACTAATTCCAATTATATATTAAACAGGCTTATATGTATTTGTTTGTTATATTACTTATGGAATATAGGGAATTTTATGTTTTTATTGAATTGATATTCAATTACTTTTTATGTGAAATTACTCCACTAGTTTGTTATAATTATTAATACAAAGATCGAACACTAAGAAAAATTCCTTCGATCCGGCCGGATTCCAACCGACGTCTTCTAGCATACCGTGCCAGCCGCTATACCAACTAAACTAATGTATATGGATTTTTTTATTTTTTATAAACTGAGAATGACATGGGAGTTTAAAGTTTTAAGTGAGAAAGTTTTCACCGCGCGCTCTCTTGCACCTTATACGATACAACGGCCAATATTTACGAGTTATATTTATTTACTCGAAATTCAAAACAGTTATTACGTGGAAACAACAACATAAATTACATTTTTTATATAAATAAATGACGCACACACTCACAGTCCCGCACTAAATATTTATAACCAAAAATTACGCCCAAACTCACGAGAGAAATAAATGTAGGCCATACAAATATTTCTCCCGGCCCGAGAAGCGAACCTCTGCATGCCAGACCAGTATGGTATATTGATTCTCGCCTTCACTAAAAAAGTAATATTACATGTATTAATACTCATACACGCAGCGAAATTAATATAACAAAATATTTGCTTATGTAAGTAGAGTTCATATTTGAAAAATATTTTATTACTTTGATGAGTATTTCGAATTTCGAGTCGAATTTTAACATCCTTAGGCTCGGTTTACATAGGCGCAGAATGTAATGCGAATATTTTTAATATTATATATTTAATTGCAGAATGAACTTCATACATATAGTTTATTGAGCAAACCCTAATAATAAAATAGCTAACTAAAACTAAACAAGGTCAATAAGACAAGATTGTAAATTAATTTCTAAACTAATTGCCCACTGACTTCCCATACTAGAAAAAATCTGTATTACGGGTTTCAGTCATCCTCCGTGACAGTTTAGCCCCCGACAACACTTTATGCCAATTATGTAACTAATTCTTAATTCATGTATTTCATAATTACCCAAATATATTGCTAACAGAATAGTTGCTAAAATGAAATATATAACAATTAATTAATTAAGTAATTAATTAATTATTTAATATCGTACAATATTTATTATCATATTAGGGGTTAAAGTATGAAATTGCCGTTTTATTGCAATAGGTTCTTTGAATTTTCATAGAATCTTCATGGTTTGAGGTTTTCGAATGAAACTTTTTTCAAATGGTTTCTGTGATTTTTTTTTTTTAAATTTGAAACATTTGAATATCGACTTTCAATTGTTTTTGTTATTCAATTTAGACAAGAAAGATGGATACTGCGAAAATTCGAGTGATTTTTGAATACGAGTTCCGACGCGGAACTAACGCGGCAGAAACAGCCCGCAATATCAATGCTGCGTTTGGAGAGGGGTCTACTAATGAACGCACCGTGCGATTTTGGTTTAAACGCTTTCGTGATGGAAATTTCGACTTAAAGAACGAGCCACGAGGAAGACCGCCCACACAGGTGAATAACGATGAATTAAGAGAGATAGTGGAAGCCGATCCTAGTCAAACTACCCAGGAATTAGCGGCATGGTTTAACGTTACCTTACCCACAATATTGACTCACTTGCGTCAAATCAATAAAATAAAAAAATACGAAAAATGGGTGCCTCATGATTTGACTGATCTGCAGAAAGAAACGCGTGTTGAAACTTGTGTTGCCTTGTTGAACCGGTACAGAAATGAAGGAATATTGGATCGAATTGTAACATGTGATGAAAAGTGGATTCTTTATGATAACCGGAAAAGAAAAATGCAATGACTGACCCCAGGTCAAATGCCACAACAGTGTCCTAAAGCAAAACTTACCAATAAAAAGGTAATGGTAACTGTTTGGTGGTCTCAGCTTGGTGTTATTCACTATAGTTTTCTCCGATCTGGTCAAGCAATAACGGCAGATGTCTATTGTGCCGAACTCCGAACCATGTTGACAAAACTAGCAGTAAAACAGCCCCGACTCATGAATCGATCTTCACCATTATTGCTCCACGACAACGCGAGACCTCACACAGCACGAGAAACCATTTTGACCCTTCAGGAACTGCAGTTAGAAACCATTCGTCATCCTCCGTATTCACCAGACCTTGCTCCAACGGACTACCATTTTTTTCGTGATTTGGACAATCTTCTACTATAAATCTACGTGACAAGAAGTTTTCTTCCCAGGAGGCAGTACAAAATGCTTTCACACAGTTTGTGCAGTCTAGATCGTCGGAGTTCTATAGCAAAGGCATTAATAACCTTCCTATTAGATGGCAGCAATGTATAGATAATAATGGCAACTATTTTGATTAAATAAATTTGTTAAAAATTTAAAAAATAAACAATTTAGATTTTCAGTACAAATCGGCAATTTCATACTTTAACCCCTATTATCATTAATGTAATACATACTACTATATGGTTTCATAGATTCTTCGGCATAACTCTGCGCACGCGGCGATCTACTTTAGCCATGCGCCGCAATTTTATTTAAACACGCAACTCACACTCTATTTTCACGTAGTTCGTTACCAATTATCCACCAATACACGACATCAAGGAACGATTTGCCACAATAATATCTGTATTTTACGTACACCAATATACAATAGACTCTAAATAGTAAAGATCTAAGGGGCAAAGCCACAATACCCAGCGCCATTATACCCTTCAAAACCAGAGTGCAGTAATAATTCTCACATTAGTGCTTGACTTGTGTCAGTATTTCTCTGGACGAACTCTTTCACAAGACTACACACACTTATTAATAAACAGTTATAAGTAATATGTGTGTGTATGTGAAAGCAAATAGTTATTAAGAATCGATACCTATTACCTCAGCTCAAATTCAAAGTTTTCCCATACTAATGCGGTTAACTTTGCTTGAGTCTGGCTTTATTTCTGAATTTATTTTTTTACATACGAAATTAAAGCGTATACCATACGTGTTTTACTTAGTTCAGTTGATATAAAAAAAAACATTGGTGTATGTAAAGTACCTATTGAATGCAGTAATTTTCTTGTAAAATTTTAAAGTAAATTTGTTTTTTTTTCTATCGTGAAAATTTTTAGGAATTGTGTTTCCACATCGTATAGTCATTAGTGCATATCCTTAATTTTATTATATATTTTCCCCAAGTGATTTATTTAACCATTTGAGGTTGTATCTAGACTCTTAATTTCCATTATTATTAATACAAAATTAAAATACATTCCACTAAAAATATCAAACAAGATTAACTATTTCATTCATAGAACTAATTTCTACTCGACTTCAACATTTAACAATTTTATTGGTATGCATAACTGCATAACTGTTTTGAATAATGCTATGTGAAATTACGTTTCTTATAATTATTAGATTAAATAAAAATATTTAATTAAATCAATGTAACATAATATATTTAGAAAAAAATCCATTCCCAATATGGTCCTACTGGAAATCAAACCCGGGACCTCCTCATCCAGTGCCCACAGTATAAACTGTTCTACCACCGAAGTCGTCAAATTCAAATTAAACTTATCTCTCAAAGATACTTTGGGGCCCAGATTGTAAATTGCCCTAACCGCACGTTTCTGCAAGACAAGATTCTATTCACATCGGCGGCATTACCCCAAAGCAAAATGCCGTATGTCATAAGACTGTGAAAGTAGCTGCAGTAAACCAATGTCCGCTACATTTCGACGTCTGAAAGTTTCCGTATTTTTTTAATCGCGTACACTACAGAGCCGAGCCGTTTTGATAACTTATTTGTATGGAGACCCCATTGCAATTTAGCATCTAACGTTATACCTAGAAATACAACTTTATCCACAAGATTCAATTTTTCGTTTCTAACTACAATGTTTGTAACAGTCTCATTGGGTAATGTAAATTTCACAATTTGTTTTCTTCTCATTAAGGAGTAGGTTATTAACAGCAAACCAATCAACTACTTTAGATATAGCATTGTTCACATCGTCGTAGGAACATTGGTGCCTTTTAACTTTAAATAATAAGGAAGTATCATCAGCAAACAATACTATTTCATATTTTATACCCTCCATGAGGTTAGGTAAGTCATTAATATAAAATAAAAACAAAAATGGGAATAGAATTCAACCTTGAGGGACACCCATGCTAATTGCAGACCCTGATGATCTCGTACCGTTAACATCCACCCTCTGTACCCTACCACGCAAATACGATTACACGATAAAAGAAATAAACGATTTAAGAAGATCGAAATCACGTCCCGCCACACCATAATGGTGAAGTTTCCTGACCAGTGTATCATGGTGCACATAATCAAACGCCTTGGAAAAGTCACAGAATACACCATAGCATCAGGTGAGACTTTCCATGCATCAAATATATATTCATCAACTCGACACCAGCATCGGTTGTAGAGCGACCCTGAGTGAAACCAAATTGTTTAGGAGACATTAACTTATTACTATAAAAATGTGCACAAATCTGATTTAGAATATTTTTTTCAAATATTTTACTGAGAGTTGGTAGTATTGATATAGGTCTGAAATTGGTGGGGTCTGAAATACTACCAGATTTGAAAAATGGAATAACTTTACTTTGCTTCATGAGGTCAGGAAAGACACGATCATCAACACATTTATTAAAAACACAGGCTAACTAAGGCGCAATACAATCAACTATAGAACTAATTACTCTGACTGAAAGACCATCAAGATCAGCAGTATTTTTATGTTTATAGACTTAAAGGCTTTAACAATATCGTTTGGAAACACATGACGGAGCCCTAAATTAATGATATTAACTGCATTATTTTCTTTTAGTAAGGATTCAGCGGCGGTGGGAGATGGATTTAACGACTTAGTAGTCAAAATTGTCATGTCAGTAAAAAAAATTCAAATATTTTAGCAACTTCTGCAAAAATATGATAGTGAAATACTAACCAACGGTAAGGGAGAACAGATCGGACTTATCCAGGAGCAGCGCCACGTGCGCCCAGCCGAACCTCTCGAACACGCTGGTGAAGACCGTCGGCAGCCGGCACTGGCAGTATGACATGCGAGTCAGTGTCGGGTACTTGCCTTTGTCATTGAACAACGTTTGCGGCTGAAAAAAAAATTGTTAGTATAAAACCATGGTAGCCTATTTTTTTAAATTAAATATATAAGGAAGCTGGAGTATCTGGGTCATATAATGAGAAACCCAAAGTACGACCTATTACAATTAATAATCCAAGGCAAAATACAAGGAAAGAGACGTGTAAGGAGAAGGAGAATATCCTGGTTCAGAAATTTGCGCCAGTGGTTCAATAGGAGCACCCAATCATTATTCAAAGCTGCAGTGTCCAAAGTACAGATTGCCATCGTGATCGCCAACCTTCATTAGAAGATGGCACATGAAGAAGATCGACCGCGGCGACCGCGTGCTTCTAACTGTCATGGCAAAATACGCTCTTACACGTTTGAACTTAAATGAGCGTCCCGGACACGTGAACGATCCTAGCTTGAATTTGTTATACGCGGCGGCCGCGCGGCAACCGCGCGGTTGTAATATTCAGAGGAATTTCAATGTTGTTGCCTAGTAAATAGAATTCAGATTCGCCATTAATGTACATGAACTCGTGTACATTAACGGCTCGCACCTCTGAGTTTTTTGGAATTTATATGCGAAATTTAATTTGGAATTTACCATGAGCTTTTAGGTGAACGAAAACATCTTGAGGAAACCTGCACGTTGAAGAAGATTCACAGTTCTCGGTAAACGTGTGAAGTTCCCAACCCGCATTGGGCGAACGTGGTGTATTATGGCCTACACCTTCACCTGAGAGGAGACCCGTGCCCAGCAATGGGACCTTTAGATTGGTTGATGATGATGAGTACATATGAATGCAATTCACAAAATATAAAATGAGAAAAATAACTTAATATTTTGTGCACTGAACGATTATAATCGTAATATTCGCAAATCGTAGCATCGTCCAATCATTTGAATAGCATCATTTCTCTCACAGCTATTGGCTATTGCATACGGCAAGTATGCAATAGCCAGTAGCCGTATTGTATAAAGCGTCGTATTACGTTACGGCTAGCCGCTTTGCAAAACGGCACTGTTTTCTAATGCGGCTAAACTGGGCTACTTGTATTATAATAGTAAGAACATATAGCATTGTTTCCTAGAGTGTGTTTTTTGTACTGCAATAGCAAAATATGGCAATGACGGGTAATGCCATTGCTATCCAAACGGCTTTGATTCCGCATAACAGTGAAATTGTTGAATCGATCACTTTGGAAAAAATATGTAGTAAAATCATTGACTTACAATTATATGGACGTCGGGTCCGCGCTAAAAAGTGTCCGCACTTGTAAGGCGCTAAAATCGTATACAGAGCGCGACACTCCGCTTTAGTCTTCATTTGTTCTACTGACAGCGCGATACTGCGATGACATTACAATTTAAATTTCGAATAGGTTGACTTGGGACATTTTTTTCGTGGTTTTTGTACTAGACCCGTCGTCCATTTATTTATAAGTCAATGAGTAAAATTGAGGATATACTCTAACCACTAAACAGTGTGAAAACACGATTCTTAAAAATTTTCACGATAGAAAAAAACACAAACTTACCAAGAAATTTTACATGACAACCTGTATTCAATAGATATTTTATCTACTAATAATTTTTTTTATATCAACTGACCTAAATAGAACATGTATAGTATACGATATATATTTTTCAAATGGTTTTAATTTCGTTCGTAAAAAAATAAATTCAGATTTTTTTTTAAATAATGCACACACTCAACATAGCGCTAGGGAACCCTGTGTCGCGGGTGCCATGGACACACACATAGACAACCACAAATTACACCCAAACTCACGAGAGAAATAATTGTAGGCCATACAACTATTTCTCCCGGCCCGGGAATATGGCATGGTAACCGTTCGGCCACTGAGGCAGTTTACAAGTATATATAAGTTACTATATAAATATATAAATATAGTCCTTGCCAGTGTGTACCATTCGCCCGCGCAATAGAACCAATTCAATACGGGAAAAATTTGATTGAAACTGAGGTAATATCGGCTCTTAACGGTAATGAAAATTGTGGCTATGAAACCTGCATGTCGAAGAAACCTTGGAAAACATGTCAACTCCCAAACCTACATTGGGTCAAAATGGCGAACTATGGCCTAAAGCCTCTCGTTATTCTCGTTGTTGCGTTGGCAAACTCACATGATTAGGCTACATGTACAGTTTCATATATATATATATATATATATATATATATATATACACATATATATATATATATATATATATATATATATATATATATAGCATGTTAGAGAGGGTCACAGGCTTCTGTAAACATAACCATCGAGTACTTGCCACTGAAAGCCTAAACTCTTGGACTGAGGCTATATTAGATGGATTAAATTGGGTCCCTCCTTTGTATGGCTATACAAATATGCAGAGCGGGATTGCCAGCCTTTGTACGTCTCAGACTTTATAATTACTACATGCAACTATTAGTCACATGTACTTAGCCGTTACAAATAGTGAAGCGCAATACGAGTATATAAAGTAGTTTATAATATCGACAATATGTCCTACAATTCCTACTTTGGTATAATAAGCCACATTTCATACGTCAAACGTGCTTTTATTACATGAAAGCCATAATAATATTTTATTTTTAATAAGTACGGTGACAGAACGAACAAGTCATGTGCCTGGTGGTAAGCTACACGTCTGTCCCTAATAATTGCAGTGCCACTAAAAGCTTTAAATCACAAAGATCTGAGGGGCACTGCCACTGCGTCCGATACCCTGAGAAAAATTGACAAGTCCCATGTGCCTGTGATTTCAGCAGCACCCTTACCCTTCCTATAAAAAATTCACACCCGTTGTGAATCTGCAAAATTACAACTTTTCAGGAGAGGGACTTAAAGATTACGAACGAAATTGGTCAGTTACTTTTTATGCGTTATAAAATTTCACATATACAAAATTTGTTTCATATTGTTGTGTTTTGTATGTTTATTGAAGATTCGCATGCGTACCTAAGTAAATATCAAATTTTTGTAATACCTAAATTTTACTAAATACACACATAATATGTGTGTATTACATAGCTGCTTTCAAAGGATAGTGGCCCAATCCTACTGCAAAGTACTCCCTATACATGAAAAATTAAAATATATGTTGATAGCCGAACACTTTTTTGATAAAAGTTTACAATCTACCTAAGGTGGTGAAATAAAGATGCAAAATGTCTATAATAATAAATTGATGATACCGTCTTATGGAAAATAAGACAGAAATATCTAATAAACGAAATTCCCAAAGAAATAAAAATATCGTTAAATTGTAAAAACATCAAAACAAAAAAAAAATACTTTTTAGAAAAAATAAAAAATTAATACGTGATTGAAATGTATAATAATTATAACCTTCTCATTTTAAGTAACACCATACGTAGGTACTTACTTTAAATGTTTTTATTAAGTACTGCTCACGACCATTTGTTAGGATCATCGAGTATATAACCAGAATAGAGACGAAATGTCATTTAATTTGTTTGAAAACTATTCCGCCATATCATTACTGTGACTACTGCGCTCCGATTGGCTAGCCCGAGTTCGAAACAATTGACGGGTGTCGTCAAATTGTTTCACTTCAAATCGACCAGTTAACTTGAGCTTTGCTATATGGACGTAAATGGCAAAATTACATATTTAATATTTAATTACCCATGAAATTTGATTCCGTTTGTTTTATAATCAGATGTTTTGCTGTTTTTCCTCACACCACCGAACGGAACAGCACGATATTGTTACAGATATTATCTTTATTACAATAAATACAGAATATTTTTGGAATATACGGAGACGTGCACACAGGTCAGTTGTTGGCGCTGTACTATTTTCAAAACAGAACAGAACAGCTTTTTAATTTGTAATTGCTGTGGAAACGAGAATTGATATTTATAAGTGATGTATCACTGATGAGTTACCAGGAAAGTATGGCCCTTATTTCGTCTCTATTTCTGGTTACATACTCGATGATTAGAATAGACTGGTGTTCAGCGATGGGATGTACATACAAAGATCAAGGTTTAGTGACACCCTTTATTAACGACTCTCACGCACACTAAGAGGAATATCAACACCCAGCAGTACGAACGCACACACTACACATAGAAATTTATTTGTACGACGAATGAGCAGTATACCGATAAACTTAGTTAAATTTATGTTATCTTGGTACTTGGTGCAACGGGCTGGTGTCAGAAACTCGACGACAAAGCGTCTATTTTGCGTGTAAAAATTTAAAATTTATGTTATACTCAAATGATTTGTTTTTTTAGTGCTTTAAATGTAATAAATAAATAAATAATAATCCAAAATAATTCCTTTTAGACTTATTACTGAGATTCGTTCAGAAAATGCAAAATTTTATTGTGAATTGGTCATTGGTTAAAATAATCACTTAAAAATATGAAGATGGTCTATCTTTGCAATTTAAAGCTCTGAGTGGCACTGTAACGGTTATGGACAGGTGTATAGCTTACCATTAGATAAGTCAATTTTGCGCGATAGACACGTCTCAGGGTTTTTAAACCACCTTCCTAGTGAATTAGATACTTTTGAGATAGGTCACTATTCTAGAAAGCCATCGATATGTAATCACGATACGTCACTCACACAAACAAGCAAAACCGCCATTTAAATATTAGTTCAAAAGCAGTTGTGAGTTAGTCTAAAATAAACAATCTTACGGAAAGGTGACCAAAATACAGGAATAATTCTATTTACTAATTACAAGCTTCGCTCACAAAAGCCCTTCCGACTTCATCCGCGGCGAAGGAGTTCAGTTTATTTAAGTAAAGATATAATATAAATAGAGCAAAAATCTTAAAAAAGTAACTCAATTACTTCTAGACAGGTACAAACACTTGCTCACTTACATATACATATAATTAGAAAAAAACAACTAAGCAATTTACAAACGTATAAAGTTTCTTATATATCTTCAGTTTTCAAAAAATATTTCTTAATATATGATTTACAGTGTTTGTTGTTTGACAATTACATATAAATTCCTCACTCATTTAGTTCATTAATATTTCCAATTTCTTTTTCCATAATAGTTATTGAATTTAGGTAATATGAATTTCTTTTGATGAATGAAAGTACAAAAGATTCTGAACTTTATCACCAAAACACATGTAGTTCGTATTATTTTAGTATCAGTAGATCTCTTGTGAACGAGTTCGTCCAGGAAAGTACTGCCACCTTATCTGTTTCTGCCGCCAAGCAGTAATGTGATCATTACTGCGTTCCGGGTAAGAAGGGTAAGGGTACTGGTGAAATTACAAGCACATGGGACTTGTCAACTTATGTCACAGGGTGACGGGCGCAGTGGCAGTGCCCCTC